GCGTGCTATCAGGCCACTGCAGCTCCAGGACTGCTTGCTAGCCTTGCTTCTCAGTTTTACTGTGCTCTGTCCAGGGTCCTGATTACAGATGAGCAGCTACAGATTTCTTCAGCTCTGTTCTGATTAGAATTTGCTCTATTTTTAATCCAAGGGGTTTTGGCTCCAATAATCTTCTACAGTTTCACAGAATTTCAACAGCCAGACCTAAAGATTAAAAAGAGATTGATCCTCTATATTTTCCCAGTGTAGCAGGCAAAAAAGAAAAGGGTGACCAATTGCACAAGCCCAGGGATCAGGGCTTCTGGGGAAAGTATACCCATCTGTTGCAAAATATTAATGCTAATAATAATAGATGTAGATCTTGCTGGGAAAATGTCGAGGAAAAACAAAAGACTTTGGCATATAAACCCATGGTTGAAGTGACTTTTATTATCATATTTATTTCTGTGTTGAAGAAATGCACAATTGCAGTCTTCTGTCTCACAGAAACAAAGAAGAGAAGCTCCTTCAAAATTAGCCCTTTGTGTGTCAGAAAATTAAAAAAGAAAATATCCTTTTCAGCACACATAAGGGATAATCTTGAAGGGTTTCTTCCTATTTTCTTTGGATAGTTCTGTTTGGCCACACACACAGGTGTCCTTTTCCATGTATAGGTGATCAGATTTAGTACTAACTTAGTTTGTTATGACTGCTGATATATGTTGTAAAAATGTGTATTGATGACTAACTGGTTGGTTTGTAATATTGGATTTTCAGGACAGTTGTATACTGTTTTGCAGTTATTATATTTCTTGATATGTTATACTTCCTCTTAATAAACATTTAAAACAAAAACAAAAAATCTCAGGGTTGCAGATATGCACAAAATGTTGCTGTACCTTAGATCCCAAATGAGCAAACGTGCTACTTACCCACTGATTTCTGCATCAACTTATTGCTAGAACACCAATGTACACTTCCCGGCCACCCTTTTGAAGACCGTGGCCTTAAACTGAAGGAAAAGAGGCTCCAGTGTTCTTAGAATCAGTGAGGAAACTGCTCCTTGAAACAGCCCTGGGCCCACCCCTGCTCAGAAGCCGGGAGAACTCAGCTGCCTCCCCTAGCCTGGAGAACAGCCCCTTTGCGACTGCTTAGTAGAAACTGGCACTCTACTATGACAAGACCACTTTCGGCAGATTTATGAACTACGAGAGAACCATCTGGCGCGGGTCAGGGGAAACAGCAAATTTCACATCGGCTTACCAGTCTTAAATAATTTTTAAAAGACTTAAAAATCAATTTGAACATATTGTGTAATGGATGGAAGCCTTATGACATGCGGTAAATCTTTGCGACCGTTTTTGTGCGTTACAAAAATATCGTTGCGGTGCAAGATGGGAATGTCTCTTGATAGCAGCAAAATTCTGGTTGAGAGGGCCGAAAAACTGGGTCCATTATGACACCTGACATTAATTTTCCTACAACAGAGCTCTGTCGTATGCACTCTAGTACACTGGTACTAGCCTACAGTAAGGGTCTATCTCATTTTCCTACAACAGAGCTCTGTCGTATGCACTCTAGTACACTGGTACTAGCCTACAGTAAGGGTTTATCTCTGTCTCTCTCATACACACACATACACATTTCTATTCCAGTTTTCTTTAAATTATGGACCTAGTACAATAAAAGCAGAAGAAAAAGGAGTTGCCTTTGAGTCACAACTGATGTTGACCCCATCCACAGGGCATTCCAGGCAGGAGACGAACAGAGGTGATTTGTGATTGCCTTCCTCCACATAGCCAACTCAGCCTTCCTTGATGGTCTCCCATACCAGTATTGACCATGGCTGACCCTGCTTAGTACCCAAGCTCTGAAAAGCCTGGGTCAAGTAATAGTCAATTATATCAGTAAAAAATTCTGGGAGATCTCCAGGCCCCATCTGGATGTTAGCAACCCTAATTCTGATTGGTTGCTGGAACTACTGAACAAGTTTTCTGGGAAATCTGGAGAAGAACCTCATGGATTGTTCAACTCCTAAAGGAGGTGAGGCTGCCGTTTTAGGCTACAGGCTACCTGGCCTGTAGCTACAGTAGGGCTATTGGGGGCTCCGCCCCCTTACTTAAAGGACCAGCACCACAAGATATTTGAGGAAATTTTTGGGAGACTGAGAAGAATTGGGGGCACATGCACCCCCCTTCTTCTCAAATGCATTTAAAGGAATCCTTTAAATGCTTTGGAGAAGAAGCGGGGGATGGCACACACCCCTCTCCCTCCCCTCCTGCAAGATTTAAAAGGCCCTCCAGTTGATTGGCAGGCCACGTGCTCCCCACCAATCAGCTGAAGCCCCTTAAATCTCTCAGGAAGAGAGGGAGAGGGATGGCCACAGGTGGGGGGGTTTGGGAGTGGATTGGAGCTGACATAAAAATAATGACAATAGGAAACCCTTAGCATACAAATATAGCCACAAATAACACCCACCAAGGGAAGACCATCAACAGTTTACATATTGAGCTGTGCCTATGTTATTTTGGAAATAGGGTTCCATTTTACCAGCCGATGTTGAAAATCATTGAAACGTCTTGATTTATACCTGGGAGAGGCATTGGGCTGTTTTTCTTTCCACAGTGGGTGTCTTCTGCTACAGTTACTTTCTGTCTTGAGGTCTATGGACACTATTCATGTATGGAATTAGAGGAGCCTACTGTTGTTTTGAACAAGTTCTTTTTGTAAATAATGCCTAATTGTTATGAGCAGTCTGTTGGGTATGTGTTTATACATTCTATTTGGGTTATGACCACTAATCCATCCTTGTACTTTAATGAATGTAATATACAATTTTGATCATATATAGTTGTAAATTGTTGATGATCTTTGTTAAATAAGGAAAGTAAATGAATAAGCAAAACAGAGAGAGAATATCCTGCAAAAAAGTGGCCCTCCAGAAAATCACGAAGAGTAGGCTTGTTACAAAAGTTTGCAAACACCAGGAAGACATTTCCAGTCTGCTCTTTACATGAGTGTAAACTTTGGGAGGTACTTTCTGTTTACTTACTGGAAAGCCCTGGCCCAGTGGGTCAGAGAAGCACAGATCATTGCGTACCTAAACCCAACAGACAATTCAGCACATTATGAACACTGGGAAGAAAATAGTCTGTTGTGATTTCTTTTCTTTTTTCCAAAGCAATGTCTCTTAACCTTTTTTCATAAGGAGCCCCATCATTAAACTGCTCATATCTACACATCAAAATAAACTGCAAGCCAGAGAGAGACTAAAAGAGGTTATTTGCCTATTGACACAAGGACCACGAATAGCGTTGTTATTCTGCAGCCTTCTGGCCTAAGCTCTTACGGGCTTTAATGATCAATCCAGTTAACTGAAACAGCTAGGAAGACAACTGGAGTGGTTGACAAGGGCGAGAGCTATCCATGTGGGTGACAAGGCATGCCAGTCTTCATGATTCTTTCCCAAAACAATTAACACTCTACACCAAGGGAATCCAAATTCTGCAATCTGTATAAATCATGCAGATTTCCTATTTTCTGCCCGTATTAGCCACAGGGAGACAAGCAACTAGGCAGTGCTGTTCTACTGGCTTCTGAGATTTCTAATGGCATTGCCCATATACTTGAATCATACCTTCAGAAAAACTAGAGACTTGATCTTTTTTTAAAAAAAAGAAGAAGAAAATTGACATTCTAGGAGCTGACTTCAGTGCCCAAGTTCACATTCTGCAACTTTTCTTTGCATAACTGCAGCATACACCTGGCCTTGAAAATATGGGTTATTTCTTTATTTACTTCACTTATACCCTGCCTTCATTCCTAATGGGGACAGAAATTGACTTACATCAGTCTTCCCTCCTCCAACAACCTTGTGAGGCAGGATAAGGCTGAGAGTGTGTGACTGGCCAAAGATTGCCCCAGTAAACATCCATGGCAGAGTAGTGATTCAAATCTGGGTCTTCTGGACCCTGCTACAACCCCTACACCACACTGGCTCTCTATATGTCATGGATACTAGTGCACAAGGCGCCAAATGTTCTGGTGGTGTGCAGTGTTCCCTCTAAGCTGAGTTAGTGTTAGCTAGCTCACAGTTTTTTAGCTTCCAGCTCACACATTTTTGTCTTGGCTCAGGAAGGATGGCTCCAGAGCAAGCTAAATTATGCAGGAGCCAAATTGCTCGCTCACAACTTGAATTTCAGGAGCTCACAAAATAGAATTTTTGCGCACAAGACTCCACACCTTAGAGGGAACATTGTGTGTTGGGTGGGGGACTCAAGACTGGCTACCGAACGTGTGTAGAAATGCTCCTCCTAGCACGGCAACTTTGGCAAATATTCAGATTTCCAGATAGCAACTTGCTTCTCACTGGTGACAGGTGCCATGAGGCGGAGATAGCCAAACAGAAAAGACTTTCGCTATATTGTCCACATGTACAGTTGATGACTCCTGCCAACCTAGCAGTTCGAAAGCAAGAAATTGCAAGTAGATAAATAGGTACCACTTCGGTGGGAAGGTAACAGCGTTCCATGCGCCTTGGTGTTTAGTCGTGCCGGCCACATGACCACAGAAATGTCTTCAGACAGCGCTGGCTCTTCGGCTTTGAAACAGAGATGAGCACCACCACCCTAGAGTCGAATTCGACTGGCTTTCGAGCAAGGGAACCTTTACCTTTACAGTTGATGAACTGCACACGCAGTGATACATCCAAAACGGTGGCAGGTACAGTGACAACTACGGACCGTTACAAGATGGCAGCTCACACAGGACCAGTGGCTGGCCTGATTGCAGCCCTGATTATGAGGCCCTCTGACATGTACAAAGAAAAGACGGTTAACGCCCAGATGCCCACACCACATCAGACTAATCCCAGAAAGAAAGGGACAGGTCAAGAGGAGATACCAGAAAGGCAAGTCTGGGGAGACAACGTAACTTTATACAATAGCAATGTGGCCCTTATCTTGATTTCCAGGAGAAGGCGACCGGAGGCCAAAGAGAAGGCCTTGAGTTGCCATTCCTACCTTCCCATCCGCTCTGCTCGCTGCAGAGAAGACGTACTCCAGCTGGAAGACGACTCCAAATGCCGGGTGATGGACCATCTCTGTCAAATGGATGCGACTTCGCAGGACGAGATCTTGCCCCTCCGAACTGTGTTTGAGAGAGCCCCAAAAGGATTGTGTTTAATTATTTGCAACTTTGTACGCTGCCTTTCCATTCCATGAAAGCCAGACATGATTCACAATTATACACTCCAATACAAGCCAGTCCAGGAATATTAAGAAAATATTATCTCACCTGGTTTTGGTACTGGCACCTGGTTTCCTGTGCAAGCTTCCAAAACATCCCCGGGCCACCTCAGTCTCTGGTACCACTACCACAACCTGTGGGGGCTGCACGAAGCAAAAGCCGTTGTGCACCCCAATGTGCAGCCGCCGCTCCTGCACAGCAAGCGTGTTCCCATTCACCATCAAGTTACTCTGCAGAAACCAAGAGAAGGCCAAAGCCCTCTTTCAAAGACA